TGGTAATCAGTCTAGAGGGGGGGGGTGAATAGACTGATTCAAGTTTTTCAACTTTTCTCTAAGTCAGAGTTGACTTGTCAGAGAAGGTCGAGTTCTGATGATCAGAACTGGTCTTGCAGCGGATAAGAGTTCCGGGTAGCCTCAAACAAATACTAAGGCAAGTGCCTTTCTGATAACTCTGAGAACAAGATCTGCTGAACACAGATTCCAAGTCTTAGAGTTATACAATTAAAATCCTAAGTGCAGTATTTAAATTGCTGTAAAGTAGATGACACCGGGGTTTTTATAGTGGTTCAAGGAACAACGCGTTCCTCTAGTCCACTGTTCCACTAGCTTTGAAGTAAACGGTTACAAAGCTTAGTCCCTAGCACTTAAGAAGCTCTCCACGTCTTCTTCAAGCCTAGTTGCCACCCAGGATGCAGTTCCACGCCCTGATGGCTGGTCCTTTCACTCAGCTTCCCGGAAGTATCACCACTTCACTACTGCAGTTACTTGGACGCCCTTCTTTGCAGAAGATGTTCTGAAAACAGAGTTTTCTCCAACTTCTTTCGTTGAAGAGCAGGATGAACTTTGCTGTGTGTTGGGATTGGAGGATATGGATATTTGAATCTTCCCAACGTAAGCTTGTCTTGTTGATGATAGTAGAGCTTTGAATCTCAAGAGAGCTTTTTGTATGTTAAGGCGAGCAAAAGTTGTAGCAAAGTTCTTTTCCTGTGTCTTCAGTGTGTAGCTTATATACTGGGGTTGTCTGCCCGTTGGAGGAGGAGACAACTGCATTAAATGCACGTACTGTTGACTTGACCCACTAATTTGGAAGCTTTCTATTTTTATAATATATCTTCCAGATTTCTCGGTCAATCATTTGCAATCAATCCAAAGTGTATCAGGCTCATTTAATGAGCATTAAATACTTTCCTTGGACGGAATATCTTCTAGCCGTTGATGAATTTCCCAGCCGTTGGAAGTAGCCTTGAAATTCTTCTAAGTGTTAGTCTGACTCTGATCGGAGTCTTCTGATACATTGGGTTCTGATGGCTTTCTGATGAGTAGTTCTGATGTAGTTTCAAGTCGATCTCTGGTGTGGGAACTCTGATGCTTGACTGATGTTGAGCTCTGATGAGGCTATACATCGAACTCTGATGCTTCTCTGATGAGCAACTCTCATGACTTCCTGAGAGCAACTCTGAAAGCAGTTCTCATAGAGTATTTCTGATCAGATCCATAAGAGAGCAACTCTGATCGTCGACTACACTAATACTTACAATTGAAAATTCTAATACATAAAATCTAATTGGGGTACATTGAAATTCTAATCTAATTATCCTAGCATCATCAAAATCTAATTACATTTATTCCTTACATTGGGTAAATAAGTGTTTTTTTAAGCCAAAAGCCGATAGTGCTTTTTTAAAGCAATTGCAAACACTCCCTAAATATAGAAGGCTTGTTGGCTACCCAAAAAGAGAGGAAAAAACAATGAAAAGGGCTCACGGAAGAAACTTAGTCTGCAATCAACTTGGAAAAATTGGAATCCACAAAAAATCTCTCTTTTTAAAAGTGTTAAAACCTTTTTATTCGTGTTCCTATAAAAATACATCAAAACTCATATCTTGTTGCGGTCTTCCATACGACACCAATACTGCATATATAAAGTCAAAAAGTTGAAATTCTAATAATGAGATAGTTTAGGCTAAAAGAACATGAAATACAAATTTTTAGTCCCTACTGCTTACACAAATAATCACATTTCACTTGAACTCGTGTTAATTTTTATTAACTGGAAAAAGTAATGCTTTTTACATCAAAATATGCATTTTTTTTTTACTCCAGGGGGGTCTGGGGGAGGGGGGCTGGGGGGAGCCTGGAGTAATCAGGGTTGAAACTCACTCCATTGAGTTTCACACCCTTGTGTGCCTAGCGGGATTTGAACACGAGACCTCTCGCTAGGCACGGTAACCTCGCAACCAGCTAGGCTGGAGTGCTTGGTTGCATCAAAATATGCATTTTTTTATCTCACAATTATTCAAGAAAGAATCAATAAAAACATGGTTTAATTTAATTAATAATTTAATCTAGCAATGTTAGCTAAACAAGGCTGGAGGATTATCACAAATCCGAACAGTCTGATGCTAAAGGCCAGATACTTCCCAAATACCGATTTTATGAAGACAGCTCTTGGAAATAACCTATCATATATATGGAGGAGTATTCATGAAACTCAAGGCGTGTTTGAATGCTAATATAAGAAGATAAGAAGGCGAACAGGTAATGGGAGGGAGACACAGGTTTGGGCAGACGTCTGGTTGTCGGGTCAGGGGGGAAAAAGTAAAATCTCCTAGACCTGGTGGGATAGCCGATATGAATGTAGCGGCTTTGAGGGATATTACGGGGAAACAGTGGAACATGGAGAGGATCGCGAATATTTTTAATGATGAGGAAAGAAGAGCTATATGCAGCATACCTATCAGTCTAGATGACACATCAGACAGGTACTAGTGGAGCAAAGAAAATAATGGCATATTCTCAATTAAGAGCTGCTATAAAGCTCTTACGCAGGACGTGGTAGTAGGGGGATGGGGCGGTTGGAAAATTTTGTGGGACCGAAAAATCCCACCGAAGGTAAAATATTTTACTTGGCAGGTCCTGGGTGGTTCTTTGCCTTTGGCTACTAATCTCAAGCGGGAATGGGTTCCTATTCCGAATGTCTGCAAGGTTTGTTCACATAGTGAGGAGACGACGGAGCACGCTCTGAAATCATGCCCGAAGGCGGCCGAGGCTTGGAAGGCGGCGGGAGTGGCACTCGGCAATGGGGACGAGTCTTTTGAGGTATGGCTCTAAAAACTTCTTTTGAGTGCTGATAAAGAATTGAGCTGTAAAGTGGCTATGTTAGCATGGGGATTATGGGAGAGACAGAATTCCCTAGTTTGGGAAGCTGACATGCAGGAGACGGCCAACTTGTTGAACAGTTGCGCATGCATGCTGCTTGCCCAGGGAAGTGTGAAAGTGGCGGGCAGCAGGTCGAGCAAAAGAAATCTGGGTTGGAGTAAGCCGAACACAAGCTACTTTAAGATAAATGTGGATGCGGCAACGGATGTGCAGGGGGAGAAGAGCTTGGGGTTGGGTTGCAAGGGATGAACATGGGATTTCCGTAAAAGCTGGTGGCCGATCAGTGGGGGGCGATTGGAGCCAAGCGGAAGCGGAAGCAATGGGAATAAGGGAGGTGCTTTTGGAGGTATAGCGAAGGGATGGGAGAAGGTTGAGTTGGAGTCCGATGCACAGGTGATCATTCGAGGCATTCATTGGGGCAGCAAGATGGCTTATTTGGATTTTATTCTTGATGACATTCGAAGTTTAGTTCATACAATGAGTAATTTTTCTATCTCTTTTTGTCCACGATTTGTGAATCGTGTAGCTCATAATCTTGCTAGAGCGCACGTATCTCTCTCAGATCGTAGAAGTAGTTATGATATTATTCCGGATTGTATTGTAAGCCAGTTGACTAACGAACTTTTGAATTAATAATATTGCTAGTCTCAATTTCAAAAAAATAATTTAATTAATGTCTTAGTAAATCGATATCAAAATAATACCATGCATATATGTTATTGATGTAGTTGGATTGTAACAGAACGGTACTGACAAAGTCTTTATGTTGTTTTCATATTGATAGAACTTGTATTTAAGTTTTTACACAAGCAAGGGTAAGGGTGCAAATTACCTATAAGAGTGTTTGTGAGATTTTTTAAAAATGTTTTTCAACTTTTGACTTAAAAAATTTGAAATAAATGTTTTCAAGTGAAAGCTGTTATTTAACTTAACCACTTAGGATGTTTTCACTTGGACTATTTTCAGTCCCAGACCAGACCGAACTTAAACTGACCATACCAGACCGAACTTAAACAGAGCAGACTTGACTTTCACAGTTATAAAATATACAGAGACCAGACACTTACCAGACCAGTTCAAACCAAACTTAAAAAAGACCCGACCAAACCACTTCAACAAATTTCAGTCCAAACTTAAAAGCTAAAAACAAATGGGTGCTTTTACACATTTCAGTCACATGCTAATATCAAACACTGCCGTTTTTTTTACTATTAAACACTTTCTCTAAAATTATTTTAAAAATCAACTTCTTTTTTTGAAAGAAGGGAGCTTAAATTGATGTCACATCATCAAGATAGGGGATAAAACGACTAAAGGACCACATGAAATCACCAGTCCTCGAACCAGACTTAAAGTCAATCATCTTCAAAAAAGCAATATGACTCGTTGATCCTATAATGAGCATAAATGAGCCAATGACGGTTAAAGCAGGCCTCTCATCACTTAATCGTAATGCAAGAGTCTTACAACAATAAAAGTAACCAAGGAATAAAATAAACAGTCTGTGTAACACCGTCCCCAAATATATTTACTTCTATGTAAATAATGTATTGAACCTTATTAAAGGATTAATGAATTTACGAAGTTGTAAATTTTTGTTATTTTCTTTCGCGTGAATAGTAAATTGCACGTGGGGCCCACATCGGGAGCGGGGACCACCCAACATTCCCGAGACCACATATTTTATTCATCTTGGTCAAGATAATATTTATATGGTGGTGGATATTTTACTTGGGTCGTGGAAAGGCCCTGTGTTGGCCGATTGGGCAAAAGAAGCCCAAATGCCGGTACCGACAATTTAACGGATAACAGCCCGAAAATGAATTTCGGAGACTTCTAAATTAATGTTTTGGAATACATATTATTTCAAAGGGCCATTACGATTGAGAACACATAATATATTTTATTGGACCCGATAAAATAAAATATATTTAAAACAGTCCGAAAAATACAATTTTCGGGACCGATTGTACACATCGGGACACAAAGGGATGACCTCCCACATGAGTGGGGGCCACCCCACGTTTTTTTGTGCTCAATTAGACAAAGGGGAGCTGGATATGATAAAGGAAGGTGTGGAGGAGGAGGCTTTGGCATCAAAGTACAAGGATGACCCCTCACCCATCACACATTTTGTCATTTGAGACAAAATAAACCACTCCCTCTCACCCCTATCACCAAGCTCGACCAAGACCTCAAGAAAAGAAGAGGAAAAGCTCTCAAAACCACCTCCATTGTTGCAGCACGAGCTCAAGAGAAATTGGTCCAAGGAAGGAGGTTTGAGAAGGAAAAAGTTAGGAAAAGTGTGAATAATTAAGGTAATGACCTTGTTATAACTTCTCCTTCATTCTTCTTTTACCATATGAGGTATATATCATGTAGACAACCTTTAGTATGGTTCCATATGTCACAAGTATGGATTCATGGGTTGAAAGGTGGCTCTACGTCCAAGAACGGACTTAGAAGCCAAAAACGACCGGTTCACCGGAAAATAACCTTTTATAGGTTATTTGTATTGATTAAGGTTTTATGATGTTAAAACCTTGTTAGGAACTTGTGAAAGGTATTTCAAGTGATTTCACAAAGTTGGAAAAGTCGCCGGAGTTGTCGCCGGAGTTGACCAAAAGTCACCGGAGTTTCACCGGAGTTCAACCAAGAAGGGTAGAACTTCTTAACGCTAGTTCAAGGTGAGTGGACGGCTTAATATCTTATAACTTTTGGGTTAATTATAAGATTACCTAAATAAATGTTATATGAATTCATAATGATGTTTAAAAGATATTTAAACATGTGATTAGCCAATAGGGTTAAGTTTGTATGAAAGAAATAGATTGTTTATGCATAGAATATGATATGAAGAATTATATAGAATGCATATTTGCTTGAAGTGTATTAGAAGCACAAATGAATATTTTAACTTAATTATGTGATGATTAAGTTGATTTGTATAAGGTTTGTAATGGCGGTCAACGACCACGTTGACCGGTGGATAATGGATTAATTAATACCGGTCGATATTAATTAATTGTACATTTACATAATTGCATGGCTTTGCATGGAATGTGATACATAAGTTTTATGTATTGAATTAGTTATGAATGACTAAATATGATATAGACCCTATCTAGCGTGATATGTGGTAAGTCATAGGTCGGGTGGAGTACCCAAGGATCGGGCGGTTATCCTCAAAACTCGGTTATATAGGGTGGAGTACCCAAGGATCGGGCGGTTATCCTCAAAACTCGGTTATATAGGGTGGAGTACCCAAGGATCGGGCGGTTATCCTCAAAACTCGGTTATATAGGGTGGAGTACCCAAGGATCGGGCGGTTATCCTCAAAACTCGGTTATATAGGGTGGAGTACCCAAGGATCGGGCGGTTATCCTCAAAACTCAATTATAGGGTGGAGTACCCAAGGATCGGGCGTGTATCCTCAAAACTCATAGATTACATTTAATGATCTAGGACCGGGCGGTGTCCTTATGATAATTTATTTGACCAAGGAGGAGTTCTATACACTCATAGGTATATGGGTGGGTTGGGATTTAAGTCAAGGATATTGACTACTATTATTTTCCCAAATAAACAATGACCTACGGGTCGGGTATTTCCAAGTGTATGTATACTAATATGTATTTCAAACTTGGGGAAAGGACTATACGTATATGTATCATCCTATGTTTGGATCTTATACTTGAAACGCTAGTTATTCTATATTTAGCCTGCTACTCGCTCGGTACTTGTACTGACCCCTTCGGGGGGCCCCACCATTTTCAGGTTGAAGCTAGGGCTTGCTACCTGCACCTTTCTACGGGTGACATCAATCAAGGAAGACGTGGTTCGTGCTTCCTCATTTTATTTCAAATTACCAAACATTGCTCATGGATATTTTTATTGTCATAAACTATTCTTTTGGGGCTTGCATGCCCATGATATTGGCCGGTTGTGGCTTATGACTTACCGTTGAATATTTCCGCTATTCATTGGTTTAAATGTGATGTTGTTATGTATGTTTACCACTGAGTATAGATGGATTATTTTCTCGAACGCCTTGTGTAATCAAGTGAGGTTGACTCGCGGGTGACGTCACTTGATTATGCGGCGGTTGTACACGCGCTTGGATTGCGGTCTGGGGCGTGACAATTAAGTGGTATCAGAGCCATCTCAGTTCTAAACTATATAATCAACCTCTCACAACAGATTTTACAAAAGAGTTTTTACCGAAAACCATGAGCATTGTATTTTGACGTTTATAGGACTATTGGTGCTTAAGTTGCAAGGCCTCTAATTGTTAAGACGGTACCCTTAACAATTGGTATGGGGGTGACTTGGGCCAATATGTGTCTGTAACGTTTTTCCGTCGATTGACATTTATAGGAGTCTAATGACTCATCCATATTTCTTTCAGAAATGGAGGGCAGGCGAATGCGGACCAGGAACAATCCGAGGGGGCAGGCGCCGGTAACATCCCAAAGGGGAAGCCGGGCTGCATCTCGGGGTTCAAGAGGAGGCCGTGGAGGCCGTGGAAGCCGTGGAGGTCATCAAGCTCAAACTGTGAGTGATGGCCATGTAAGCTCGGTGTATGAAACCAACACCGAGGATTATGACTCTACGTATGTTCCTGAGACAGAGCATGAGGAGACCCCATATGATGGGGGTGACACATACACCGATGAGGACAATGATGAAAGTGATGCCCGCTTCGCCCAAATGGGTGAATTACTTGAGTGGTATCAAAAGGAGAAACTGAGGAGAGACCTTAGGCGCCAAGCGAGGCGTGGCTCTCGTGGTGGTTCGGGTCAAGGGAGCCGGGGAGCTTCCGTGGCCACCCCAGCGGCGTCACAAGGTGGGCGTGAAGGAGGTTTTGTTGTGAGAATCTCCAAGTACCTCAAGGAGGCTAGGGCCTTGGGGTGTAGGTCCTTTGACGGCACCGGTGACATTACCGTTGCCGCCGATTGGATTAAGAAGGTGAAAGATGCGTCAAGAGACATGCAAATCACACCGGACGTGAAGTTGACTGTCGCTTCACGGCTACTTGAAGGGATAGCCTCTACGTGGTGGGAGAGCGTGGAAGGGAAGTACCATGGGGAAATAACATGGGCGGACTTTGAGCTAGAGTTCTATGCTCAATACTACTCCGAGTACGAGGTGAATGTGAAACGGAGAGAGTACACTAACCTCAAACAGAAAGATGGCGGCACGGTTAAGCAGCTGGAACAAGAGTTTAGAACCTTGGCGAGGTTCTTGCCAGAGTACGCGGTTGATGAGAACCGCATGACGGAGCACTTCTGGGATGCATTACTCTTGGATATCCGTGACCGAGCTACGTACTCTCGCCACATGTCATTTAGCGAGGTGGTGGAACAGGGTCTTCTTGGAGAGGCCCAGTGGAATGAGAGGAAAGCAAGGGACGCCGAAGAGGCGAAGAAGAGGAAGTGGAATAATTCGGGGCCACCCGATCATTCTCGAAGGAACAACCACGGGGGTGGTGGTGGTGGCGGTGGTTCATTCAAGACGCCGGCTCCACCGGCAAAGAAGAATAGGGATGCGAGGTGGCACGGACCTAGGCCACAGAACTCGGGGCCACCTAGATGTCCCAATTGCTCAAAACAACACTTTGGGAAGTGTAATGAACCACCGAGGTGTTTTAAGTGCGGGAATGCGGGCCATATGAAGGCCAATTGCCCTCAATTGATGCAAGAGAGTGCCTCGGGAGCCGGGGGAGGGACCATGACGGGAAGAAACCGTGCGGGACCGTCAAACGGCGGTACTGGAAGAGGCGGTGCATCCACAAGCCATGCCGCATCTGTCAACCAAGGTGGGACCCAAGCACGAGTCTACGCGATGACCGAGGCGGATGCGCGAGCAAACCCGGACTCCGTTGCAGGTAATACATTTATTTTCCTGTATTTCTAGGCTTATTTGGGTCATATAAGTCATTGGGTTTGGGTGCGGGCCACCCCGGGGTCAAACCCCGCGAATTCGGGGCGAAACGGGCTAAAAACAACTACGCGCGATCGCGCGTACCCACAGACGCACGACCGTGCGTGCGAGGCAGTAGCCTCTGGCCTTATTCCGCGCAGACGCACGCCGTGCGTGCAGGTCAGGCACGCCGTGCGTGGGACGCACGATCGTGCGTGACCAGCTACGCACGATCGTGCGTAGCCTGCAGTGGTGGATCTCCGATTTTCACCCAGGCACGCCGTGCGTGCCACCCAGGCACGCCGTGCGTGGACCCCCAACACCCGAGAATTGATTTTTTCGCCCCGTTCTTCTACGTTTGGACCCCCGTTTGATTCCAAACATTAGTGTGAACCTAATAACATCCTAATGATGTGTAAAAACCTTAGAAAATGTATCTTACATGATGTATAAATGTAGGAACATTAAAGATCAATGGTAGGTGTGCGAGGATCCTCATCGATACCGGGGCACAACGCTCATTTGTGAGCGAGGCGTTCGCCGAGGGCCTTGACGTGCCATTGACACCTATGACGCAAACGTTGCTAGTCTCCACACCGTTAGGAGACGATGTGGAGAGAAATCATTACTATCCATCATGTGAGGTGGAAGTGACGGGTCAACCCTTGACTTGTGATTTTGTACCTCTAAGCATGTTGGAGTTCGACGCAATCCTAGGAATGGATTGGCTCGAGAGACACCATGCTCGAGTAGATTGCTACACCAAGGTGTTGGAGCTCGAGGATGATCAAGGAAACACGGTATGTTTCGAGGGAGATCGAGGAAAATCCAATGCTTGCATCATATCCGTAATGAGAGCACGGAAGATGATGAGGAAGGGGTGCCACACATACCTTGCTTACGTGATGGATGATACGAAGAAAGAAGTCGACATCAAGGATGTTCGAGTCGTGTGCAAGTACCCGGACGTCTTTCCAAAGGACCTACCGGGGCTTCCACCCGATAGAGAGATTGAATTTGTAATCGAAGTGGAGCCGGGAACCAAACCCATTTCGATTCCTCCTTATCGAATGGCACCGGCCGAACTTCAAGAGTTGAAGGTCCAACTACAAGAGCTACTGGACAACGGGTTCATCAGACCCAGTCATTCACCGTGGGGAGCACCCGTACTCTTCGTAAAGAAGAAAGATGGTACGCTAAGAATGTGTATCGACTACCGACAGTTGAACAAGGTCACAATCAAGAACAGGTATCCTTTACCTAGGATTGATGACTTGTTTGATCAACTTCGAGGGGCCATAGTATTCTCGAAGATTGACTTGAGATCGGGGTATCATCAGTTGAAGATCAAGGAGAGTGACATACCTAAGAGTGCATTTCGCACTAGATATGGTCACTACGAGTTTCTTGTGATGTCATTTGGTTTAACCAATGCACCGGCAGCATTCATGGACTTGATGAACCGGGTGTTTAGTGAATACTTAGATCAATTTGTGATAGTATTCATTGATGATATCTTGATATACTCCAAGAGTGAGGAGGAGCACGAACATCATTTGAGGCTTATACTTGATCGGCTAAGGGAAAAGCAACTCTTTGCCAAGTTCTCTAAATGCGAATTTTGGCTCAAGGAGATTGGTTTTCTCGGTCACGTCATATCCGGTTCGGGCGTAGCTGTGGATAACGCCAAGATAAAGGCGATCATGGATTGGGAGAGACCCAGGAATGCGAAGGAGATACGTAGTTTCCTTGGCTTAGCAGGATACTATCGTAAATTTGTGGAAAAATTCTCCGTATTGGCGTCCCCATTAACGAAGCTCACAAAGAAAGGGGCCAAGTTCATATGGGACGACAAATGTGAGAAGGGGTTCCTTGAATTGAAGAAACGACTTACCGAAGCACCAGTCCTTGCCCTACCCATACAGGGGATAGGGTATGACATTTATAGCGACGCTAGCATCCAAGGGCTTGGGTGTGTACTGATGCAAAACGGTAAGGTGATTGCCTATGCTTCTAGGCAATTGAGGAAACACGAGGTGAACTACCCTACTCACGATCTAGAGTTGGGGGCGGTAGTGTTTGCATTGAAGATTTGGAGGCATTATCTCTACGGGGAGACGTGTCACATTTATACTGATCATAAGAGCCTGAAGTATGTATTCACTCAGAAAGAGTTGAATATGAGGCAGAGGAGATGGATGGAGTTGATCAAGGACTATGACTTGATCATCGACTATCATCCCGGAAAGGCCAATGTAGTGGCCGACGCACTGAGCAGGAAGAGTACGTCGGGGACGCTACTCACATGTCTACAGGCATTGAGGGCACACGTGGAGGTATCCACGAGCGGGGCGCTCATTGCTAGGTTTGAGGTCAGACCTACATTGCTGGGTGAGATCAGTAGATGTCAGGCCATTGACGAGGAGTGTCAGAAGATTCGTGAACGAATCATTGAGGGGCCTGTTGAGAACTTTCGGGTACGTGACGATGGTCTATTATTGTTTAAGGATCGTGTGTGCATACCAAAGAATGAAGACCTCCAGAAGTCTATACTCGAGGAGGCTCATTCTTCAGCCTATGCTATGCATCCAGGAGGTACTAAGATGTACCGGGACCTGAAGGAAAGTTACTGGTGGTCGGGTATGAAGAGAGACATCGCCGAGTATGTGAGTCGATGCCTTACTTGCCAGCAAGTTAAGGCAGAACATCAGCACCCGGCAGGGCTTTTGCAGCCACTCACCATCCCAGAGTGGAAGTGGGAGCACGTGACCATGGACTTCGTGGTGGGGCTACCACGAACAGTGAACAACTATGATGCAGTTTGGGTAGTGGTTGATAGACTCACCAAGAGTGCACACTTTTTGCCTATCAACATTACTTATCCTCTTGAAAGACTGGCCAAGCTCTACACGGAGGAGATTGTGAGATTACATGGAGTCCCGATATCCATTGTCTCGGATAGGGACCCACGATTCACATCTCGATTTTGGCCGAAGTTTCAAGCATCTTTGGGGACTAAACTGAAGTTTAGCACAGCTTTTCACCCACAGACGGATGGACAGTCCGAGCGGGTGATACAGATTTTGGAAGACATGCTTAGGGCATGTGCTTTGGAGTTCCAAGGAAGTTGGGACAAGCATTTGGCCCTAGTAGAGTTTGCCTATAACAACAGTTATCAGGCAAGTATCGGCATGCCCCCATATGAGGCATTGTATGGGAGGAAGTGCAGAACACCGTTGTGTTGGGACGAGGTTGGCGAGGCCAAACTCGAAGGGATAGAGCTGGTTGAGATCACCAAGGCCAAGGTAAGGATCATTCGGGATAGACTAAAAGCTGCTCAGGACCGGCAGAAGAGTTATGCTGATAAACGGCGGAGACCGTTGGAGTTCGAAGTCGGTGATGAGGTCTTCCTAAGAATTTCTCCTTGGAAGGGCATCATTCGATTTGTATCGAGGGGAAAGCTTAACCCCCGATACATCGGCCCATTTGAAATCCTTGAAAGGATAGGGGCCGTGGCTTACCGTCTCAAGTTGACACCGGAACTTGAGAAGATACATGACGTGTTTCATGTATCGATGCTCAAGAAGTACATACGAGACCCATCTCATATTCTTGAGAAACCACCGGTAGAGATCCGTGAGGACTTGCAATATGCGGTGGAACCAATGAAGATTGTTGGCCAACAAGTGAAGAAGCTGAGGAATAAGGAAATTCCTATGGTAAAGGTTCTTTGGAGGAGTGATCGAGTCGAAGAAGAAACTTGGGAGACCGAGGTCTCAATGAGGGAGCAATACCCATTTCTCTTCGATTAAGATACTTGGATTTCGGGGACGAAATCCCAATTAAGGGGGGGTGAACTTGTAACACCGTCCCCAAATATATTTACTTCTATGTAAATAATGTATTGAACCTTATTAAAGGATTAATGAATTTACGAAGTTGTAAATTTTTGTTATTTTCTTTCGCGTGAATAGTAAATTGCACGTGGGGCCCACATCGGGAGCGGGGACCACCCAACATTCCCGAGACCACATATTTTATTCATCTTGGTCAAGATAATATTTATATGGTGGTGGATATTTTACTTGGGTCGTGGAAAGGCCCTGTGTTGGCCGATTGGGCAAAAGAAGCCCAAATGCCGGTACCGAC